CTGTTTCATTTTTGCATCTGGTAGAGTTGTGCTTTGGAACATACTGACCGCCTTCCTATTGCTTCATTATGGATTATACAGGTAGAATTAAACTTCATATATTTTCTATTCATATGGAATGACATATTATTTTAACTTATATTTTCAAAATTATCTTGGCTGTAATTATACTTTTAAAAATTCTGTGCAAAAACTTATTCCTGAGTATGTTTGAATATGGGTATATAAGTTGTGATTAATTTAGGATAAACACTTAAGGTTTTCTATTTCAATTTGAGTTATAATCAGATAGACTTACACTATAATCCATAATGAATCCACGTCTCACCTCTCCTAAAATGCTTAGAATACAAACCTCTGAGTTCAGATGATGCCACACAAAGAATAAAATATACTCACAGCCTTCAGGGAGCTTCTGGTTTGTGTGCTTTTGGTCTTGTGGTGGTTGCATGATTAGGTGGTCTTTTAGATGTAATTAATGCAATGAAGGGAATAACCAATTTATTTTTAGGCATAAATTTTTTGAATATGAATGTCCAGATTATTCTGTTAGATAATTGAACATTTCTTAAACTGTATAACCTGTTGTCTGTGTCTAGTTTTACTGAATGGTTACTTGGTGCAGGTTCAGGAATAAAGGTGAGGTTAGATTAGCCATGGTGGTTGATGAGGCTGAACAATGTTAAGTGAGTAGGGGATTCCCTTAGTTCAGATGGGGAAAGGTGAGCCTGGAAGGAGAGGTGGTAAGTAGCAAGAAAGGATGTTAGTGTTTGCCCAAGATTTGTACAAGTAATTCAAAATTGTACAAGTCATTCTAAATTTGATTTTTGGGTAATGGCAGCACTATTTTCTGATAGATTTCTTTAAACTAAAGAACAAAGGCATTTGGATTTTTTTCCCAAGACTGAGACCTACTTTTCATATCTAGTAAAATTATAAATCCCCAGTGTGCGCTCAGATTAAATTTTACTTACATAGTCTTTAAATTATACCTTTTGCTCTATAGATGGACAAGCAATTAGCAAGACAGCTATTTATGAAGTATGAATCAAATTTTGGTAGAACGAATAATTTGACAATGCAACTTTTAGGAGTTACCATATAAAGAGCTTCTTTGGGAAGTTTTTTTTTGAAGTCGAAACATTTTAAATAATCACCCCCAATATACTTTTCCTGTAAATCTGCATTTTCCTATTTTAAAATTTCTTTAAAACGATATGCCAGTGTATTGGTCTCTCCTTTGGATTTGTTTTTCTCCTAAGATTAGTGGAACAGAATTTTTGTTTCGGACTCTGAAATAAAATGCACATGCTTCCTATTTGTGTATTACTAATTTGAAGCAAGAAGAGGACAAACTTTATCTGCAAAGAAATCAAATTTCTAAAATTCTAGTAGGAGTTTTACTATGAGTATGCTTTTAATTATAAATTTGTACATTTTAAAACCAAAGGTTAGAATAATTGTTTCATTTTTCTCATTTTTATATTGCCATTAAAATACTTCTCTGTTGTTCCTAAGCAATACTCAAATGGTATTTTAGAAGATACACAACTTTAACATGCTAATAAGTAGACTTCAAGAATACAAAAACAAAACAAAACTTCAATGTTTTAAACAATGGAGATGTATTTAGAGAAACTGAAGATACACTTTCAAAATTAGTTATTGTATATACTCTATGGGGAATATGTGGTAGAAGTTTTTACCACATTAGTAGATTAATTAAATTACTTTAATTATGTGGTATGAAGCTATTTTTAAAATTGTCATCTGTGGTGATTTTTATAAAACTTATTTGCAAATATAGTTATACTTAGTTTATTAAACTTTAAAGAAAGCTCATGGTGGTTTTTACAAACTCATATTTGCAAATATAGTTATATTTAGTTTATTAAACTTTGAACTCGTGGTTTCAGTCCAATGAAGAGTGAAAACTTTTGGATGAGAAAAGAATTCATTTTCTTTCATCAGTTTAGCTCAGCCACTATTATAGACACTATTATAGTACTGAAGGGAATATCTTCTCATAGAAAATTGCTGATAGATAACTCAAGAATATATTTATTTTTAATGTTATTTTTTTTTTGGAATGCTTTTTCTCCAAGTGATTTCCCTTCATTTTTTTAGGTCTCTGTTGAAATGTCATCTTTTAAAAAAGCTTCATGTCATGTGACAGTTTTACTCTTCACTTCATTCATTCACTTCATTCCCTAATTCCCTATATCTTCTTTATGACACATATCACCACTTGATATTTTACGTATTTGCCTCACCCATAGAAAATAAGTTCCATAGAGGAGGCAGAGTGCTGTATGTACAAGCAGAATATAGAATAGTAGGCTCCCAGGAAATAATTTTTCCTTAGGCAGCACATTAACATTTGTTTTCTTTCTCTGAGTTTATATCCTTGATTAGAGGAAAGAGTTGGAGTAAACCAAATTTTTGTCAAAGTAATATGGATCCAAATTTCCCAAGTGTTTAGAAGTTCCTCAGATCTCTTAGTGGTTATAGAAACCTGGATAGGAGTCAGAGGGTATCATTTTGCTGGCAAATGAAATAGCTAGTTTTTTAGCATGCTGATCCTGTTAGAGTTATATGAAAGTAGATGACCTTTTAAGAGATATTATATCCTTTAATTTACTCATAAGAGTCTACTCTAAGAAATAAATATAGGCTATCAAAAAGGTGCATTTACATACATATATAGGCTATCTATCTTGTATGAGCTAAAAAAAATAGTTACACCAAATGAGTCAGCAAAGCTGTTATTGCATATTTTCAGTTGCTATTGTTGAAAAATATCTTACTCAGGGATTATTTTCTCAATCTAGTTTTCCTCTTGTCTTCCTGAGGGCCACACCCATTCTTCCTTTATTTGACTGTTCTTGTACAACATCTGGTATGCAATTTAAAATGGATCTATGACAGATAATATGATTTTGACCCTATGAAATATATTGCCCTTTCTCCTTACTGCAGTTGTATCTCAATATCACTGATATTCTCCCTTGGTTGTTGGCTTGATCAATTATTGTAAGAGGGATGCATTTTTCTTAATTCCTACAATCTTTAGCACAGTGTTTTCTCTTTCTCTAGTGACCTTTATTTTTCTATGCATTCTAAATTGATATCTTCTTTATGTTTTTAAACATTTATGTATATAGGAACTGGATATAGGCCAGGGGTGTGGGGGTTGGCGTGATAGGACACATTAGAGACAGAAGGGGGAGCAGAACAGATGAATCTACTGAAATACACTGCAGAAGGGAACCATGGGTGATACAGGAAAGGTCTGCTGCACCATGTGGGTCACCTCCCTGGCCTGGGGTTGAACTCATGCTGCAGTGGCTACCAATAGCTTCATAGTACTGAGACTTGATCCTTTGTGCCAGTAGGCCGGCCCTTCTTTTCATTTTAAATCCTTAAAATATAGTTTTTGTAACTTCATTTTTCAAGAGCCAAGACCAAATGGGTATCTAAATCCCAGTTCACTATTTTCTACCTGTGCAATTTTGGCCAATTATTTTTGCTCTATCAATGTGGAAAATAATGTATCTACCACATAGGGTTGTTATGAGGATTAAATAAGTTAATATATGTAACTCCTAGAATAATACCTGGTATATAGTAAACATTAAGTAAATTTTAGTTATTGGTACTCTTTTTACAACAAAATATTTGTCCTTATGTAGCATCTTTATCTTATGTGGCATCACGACAGGTCGGCATTTTCAGTAAGGTTAAGGTAAAATGATCTTGAATAAATTATGCTATATCCATATAACAGACTATTATATACCCATGGTAGGATGAGGTGAATCTATACATACTGACTGGAAAACTATTAAGGGTGATTTTGGATGATAATAATTTGCAGCTCCACAGTCCATCAGAACTTATTGTTTAAAATCTTTATTATAGAAAATATTAAGAAAATACTGAAAAAGATATTTAGGTGAATGGAGAGGATATGCCATGATTTATATGATTTTAAAAGTGTAGATTTATGGAATTACTCTTTTGTGTATTTTAGTATTTTCAAAATATTAAGATAAAAAATTTCTTTGCTTATCTTGGATAGATATTTTAACGAAAATCTGTATATTCTTAGCTTTTTAAAGAAAACTAGATTTCTAAATATGGTAATGCAGGAAGACTTATTTCTCAAATGAGTCAAAAGACAAAATAATATGTTCAAGTACTTTGTATGGCTAGATTAAAAGGAAATGTGTTTGTTGGTCATACGAATGTGCCCTACCGCCTTACACATAGGTGTACGTAGGAGTGTGCTTAACAGCCTTGGAATAAATGAATTACTCTGAGAAATGTCAGGAATTCTTGTTAAGCAAAATGAAGAACATATAGGCAAAAAGAATAGGATAAGAGAAATATACACATATAAATATATCCCTAGAGCAGTAATTTTTACATTTGAATAGTAGTTACAAAATAATAATGTAATCACTAATATTTGAGGACTCCCTGTGTACCAAACAATGTTTTAAGCACTTATTCTGTTATGTGACTGTTACATCTGTGTATTTATGTATCTAGAATCTGTGTACAGTGGTAGACATAACTTCATATATTTATGATTATGTGTGCAACCCTCGATCTGTTAACTGGTCATAGGCAAGTGAAAAAAGATGAGTTCTGAAGTTTTTGTAAAGATAGACTTATTTTCTTGTTTCTGACATTCTTATTCCTAGAAAAATCTCTGCTTGTTGCGTAAAACCAGGAACCCTGCTCTGCATGACATTTTTGTGGTTACTTGCGATAAAGCCAATCATTAAATTTCTTTGGGGTCTCTTAGTGTTTGGTGTCACAGGATGAAAATCATCAGGAGGAGGAATAGGTACATGTGGCTCTTGGTCTTGTGCATTTTGTGACAAAGGAATTCCCCTTTGAACTGCCTGTTCCCCTGAAGCCTCTGGCTCAAGCAGCACAGTCTGCCTGTGCAGTATCCCTGACGTCATCAGTGTATGCATAAGCCCTGCTATTGTCTTACTGCTACAGCAGGGCTGGGGATTGCAGTATCCGCTGTTGCTGCTGCTCCCAGTCCTTCTCCGTCTGCTACCTCGTCCTGTCTCACTGCATCCCAGGAGAGCCACGTCGGCTGGTCTTTCCCTTTCGGATTTTCAAAAGCAGCTCTTCGGTTTTTGGTGCTGGAGGGAGAGACTACTTTTCAGTCACACCGGAGAGCACTGAAGCTTGTAAGAGGAGAATCTGGCAGCTGGACACAGCCTGAACTGCATTGTCTCTCTTCATGACCCTTGCTGTGTAGCAGCTCATCTCTTTACTCATACGTACACCCTCGTCCTGATTTTCTTCCTTTTTTTTTTCTCTTTCTGATAATTTTTTAAGCAGCCTCTGGAGCCAGCCATGTTTGGCACTGAATCTTCATGTAAGTAAATGGATCCCACTTCTTTGCTATTTAGAAATCCACTTGCTGTCATGGTTTCATTGGCTTGGAGTTCATATCAGTTTGCCTTAGGTCATTAACAGCCTTTTATTTTGGCTCTGGCTACAAATGAATTGGTCTAAAGAGGGACTCCCCCTTAACTGGGTTATTCATCCTTAAGGTTAGGGATGTCAATGTGGTCAAAACCAGGCCTCTAAGAGAGAGGGAGGAAGACAGGAATCCAGGCAGCCTCCGGAGAACGTGTTAATTGATGGGATCAAGTCTGTCACTGATCGATTGTTGGAGGTTCTGTAATGGTCCTTAAACCCGAAAATAGATAATAGGATGATCTGAGATGATAATATTTCTTAGAAAGGAAAGAATCATTCCTTTGTCTAACAGGAGTAAAAGGTATCAATATATCCTCTTCCTCCATATTTTTACAAAATCATAGGAATATATACATAGATTAAAGATGAATGAGAAATAGGCTTTGTTTTTGAATATGGATTTTTTCCACATAGTGACTTTGATTTCAATGTGCTAGTTAGTGTCACAGCCCAGAAGTATCATATCTGCCTTAAAACTTATACAATGAAATTGCTTTGGTGCAGAGCAGGCCTGCACAATGGGCTAGGCTGGACAGCAGTTGTAGACAGCTAAAATTGGTATTTTAAAATATGATGATCAGTTTAAGTAATTTGAAGATTATTTAATGTTGTGTGCAGAATAATGTGACTTGTCAATGCAGTTGTAAAGGCTCTGCAGAGTATTTTGTCATTATCTATAAGTAAAGGTGACAGTGAAGAATTTCTAAAGAGATGAAACCTGCTGGCCTAGAATACTGAAAATAGGGTAGACACTATATCTGGGGGGGTGGGGAGGAGAAGGAGGTTAGGGCATATTTCTTATGATTTTATAATTCGTCTTTTCCTTTATGATCTCAGGTGATTGGTGTGTCTATATCACAATGGGTGATTAGTTCAGCATAGTAGTATTTCAAGAGCTAATAACCCTCAGTTCTTTGGCTTCGCATTGGCTTTTTAAAGGGATTTATTATTTTTTGTTGGTTTCTCATGAAAGTTTCCTATTTCCCCAACTGTCACACTACCAAGGTCAAGATAGAGCAGGTACCAGATGTAATATCCATTTAGCATGTGATTACTTATAATAATTAAAAAATATTTTTCACTTTGTGAGATACATTTGGAATGACTTGTCATGCAAGAAATAGAAACAATATTAGGTGGCAAAGACTTCCTAGTTTCATTTCAGTTATGGAGTTTTATTTACATAGGAGTCTAGGTAGGTACAGAAAAATACTTACCTACTAAAGGAGAATTAGTCCTACTACTTTATTAAGCTGAAAATGGAAGTTGAACCTAAGTGTTGGAAGCCTTTTGGGTTCTTGGACTAAAATTCTGTAGGTTTGCCAAACAGACACAGCCTTTCCTAACCATCAAACCCAATCTTATGATAATATTACTCATGTAATAAGTGGTGCATTTGAAAACTGCTGGTTGCTTGTAGTTTCCATAGTTACCAGATTACTGAACAGAAAATACCACTTGGAAGACTGAACACCCTCATGCAGGTTTTCAGCATTGATTTTACATTACTGAATATTAAATTGTTTTTTGTTTTTGCTTGTCACTAGAAGACCATAGATAGCTTCATAGTGGTCATTATATATTGAGAAAGGGCTGCTTCTTTAGATAAGGAGTTGCCTCAAATCTGCATTCAGAATTCACATAAATATATTTTCTTTGTGTTTTGAGGCATGGGTCCCAAGGCCTTTAATTTAAAATTTTGCAGACTATTTTATTAGCAAGAACTACCTATATATGTAATATTCAGAAGAAGTCATATTTAATTGGTTTGGAAGGGATCTTTAAACATAGGATATTTTAACTATATTTTTTGGTCAATGCTCATTTAATGTTTATCCTCTATCTAATGTTCTGCTAGATCCTGAACTACTTCTCTATCTCACCAAAAGGTAATCAATCACTGTTCTGACTTCTGTTGCCCATTGAATCACATGTGAATGGCTTTCTAAATTCTTTCTCTTATCTCTTTGCATATAAGAGAAAGAAATGTCAGTATCTTTATTTTCAAATACTGGATTAAGTTAACTTTATGTTTCAGATCTTTTAGATCAGGAATTGCAGTAGAGCCTGGGTATCACATAGTAATCTATTATATCCCATTTGCATATAATTGCATGATTTAAATACCAACCCCTTGATTAGTCACATCCCTCACTTCTATCCCTCAGCCTTAAGACTGGCAAAAAGTTTATTTGAAAGAGTAGGTCTATTCATCAAAATCAAAAGCTTAGATATTTATGCCATTATAACTAATAGGTGCTCTGCCTTCTGGCATTGTGCTAGTGAAACCTCCAACATGTCAGTCTCATTTTCTCTAACTTGATGGATCTGAATTTCCAGAACTGGAGTAGCCTGAGCACAGTCTGTTTGAAGTGGAAGTGCTCCGCATTAGGTGTGGGTTAATCATCACACAGCGGGAAGTGTAGCTTCTGTGACTGTTACTATCTTGATGTGTTTCACCGAGCTTTTCCTGTACTGAAGTTTCCCATGACTGAAAATGGGAATCGTTGGTATATCTGTTCTTTATCAGCTTTAGGGAAATGTAATTTTAGTTCCTGTGTTTAGAATAATTTACACTCAAGAAGAAAATCCTGTCAGAGACCTTTGGTTGAGGGGAATAGTCATTATGCTAGCTCTTAATTTGATTTAATGTCGATTTATATTCTAAAATCAATGATTTCCACTTCATTAGTTAAAAAAAATTTAATTTCCCCTTAAAATTTTATGAAGGGAGAGAAAAAAATCATCTTTTGTGTAGTAAGGCACATGGATTTTGCTCTGCTGTCATTGGTTACATCCTTCGTGATAAAGGCAGTTATTCTCTAAAGAGTAAAGACTTACAATACGATGAACATTTATTCAGTTAGCATTTACCTGGCTCAATTTTCCTCCTTTCTCCCTTCCCATGTTTAACTTTTTCAGTCCTCTGGGGTACCATTTAAGATGTATTGTGGAGGGAATTGTGGCTTGGTCTAGCAAATTAATGTCTTCCAAAGCACCTGCCTTATTAGTTCACTGAAGAGAACAGCATCTTACCTTTTAAGAAACAGCATGCCCCTTGGACAGTAGTATGATTTAATCCTCCCTCCCCATTTTGATATAGCTGTAGTAAATGAAAAAGAAGAGCTGGTTCATCTATTTAAGGGAAAAAGAAGTTACTAAAGTATCAACAAAGGGGGTGGTGGTAGTGAGTTTATTGGTGATGGAGAGATGGTAAGTATGTGCATATCAGTTCTCTTTAGGCCTGGTAAATCTTCCTTGCCATATTTTGGATGCCCACATCACCTTGGGTAGGTAGCTAGAGCTGGAAAAGATTTTGGGATACAACTAATGCCCTGTGTGGTTTACCTTTGACTTGCATCAAAAGTGCAGGTGTTATTTTTTATATTTATTACTGATGAATAATACATTGTTAAAACTGACAGCTTTTCAGTTCTTATAGTGTGGTGTCATGTTTCCAAGAACACATATTACTTCAAATTTTGGGCCATTGCAAGGGAGATAATCACATAAATATATTCTAGCAATATTAGGCCACTGAAAAACTATATAATTAAACAGACATCTCATGATAGAAGAAAAAAGAGTCATACTTTTTTCATATATATGCATTTAGGGCCATTCTTGACAGCTAGTCTTGTATGATATTAATTTTGCATTTTAGGGCCATTCTTGACAGCTAGTCTTGTATGATATTAATTTTGTCTGTTATATAATATATCTAACTCCACTGATAATATATATAACTCCTGTGAATCAGATATTAATACTAGCTATGGTCACTTAAAAATGGTTATCACAAATGGACTATTTTTAATAAAAGATCTAGTTCTTAACAAATAATTATATTAGAAACTGCTGTTTTTGCTTAGTATGTTTGACATTTTTATATTATATTTTCTTTTCTCTTATTAGTTTTTGTCATTTAGAACACAGGTAATTTAAGAAACTAGGTAACTTAAGAACACAATCATTTTCCTTTCCTACTACTTTAATCTTGCTGTTAGTATTTAACTGGATTGACTTTTAGATGCTTTCATCTTAAAAGAAAACATAAATACTTAGTATACACTTGAAAACTTACTGTTAAGTCTGCACTCAGAGAATTACATGCAAAGAAAAATATTATTGCATGATGTTAGATGAACAGAGCACTATAAATCACAAATATGGAAAAACAATTGTAGATCATAGAACTTTACAGTGAGACATGGAGGATATACAGGAGCCTGGGAAACTAAAGATCATATAACACTTGACTTTTGTTATTTCTGTATTATCTTTTTTTTCCCTTTCTGAAGTGTAATTTCTGATGTGAAATTTCCTCTTGGGTTTTTGTCAGTTAATGGTTGACATGGTGATTTTTAGTGTCAAGAGAATATTTTAAACTAAATAAGATAGGAAACTTTTTTTTTTCTTTTGGGTATTTATATACTTATGCAGAGATGGAACAAAAATACCCAGTAGTTATTTTTAAATTCTCAAATTACTTATTTTCACTTGAGTATAGGTTTCCATAATTGTTGGTGTGGAGTTTGTTCAGGAGAAATTACACATGAGTTTTCAGTGATCTGTTGTTTTCATTGTCACAATGTACCAGATTCATATCCTGTATAAACTGTGGGGAGTCTAAGGGGAAATATTACCATATATGGAAACTTTCTCCATAGAATCCCCATGGAGTTATACAGGATATGAATAGGATTCATTGTTGTTATGGATTCTGAGTCAGAAAAGGCACTGATAATATATATTTTTAATGTTATTAATAGTCATTGCATAAATTATATTCATATACTACTAGATTTTAAACATGAGACCATGAGGGACACAGGAATATGAAGCTGGTCATTTTTTAAATTGCTTTCAAATAGTTCTGATAGCTCATTTTTT